AACATGCAAAAAAATCAGTTATAAAACATTATATAATTACCTTGATATAAAAACATCATATTAATAATTATGGTCGACACTCTATAACAATCCTATTAGAATCGTCTCACAATACCAATAGACACCAAATTACCCAATAGACACTCATCCGGATGATACGTTGATGAGCGGTCACGGGAGGTTATGCACTTGTAATGACTTCTACTTCTTTTTTTTAATATACTTTCAAAATACTTCATACAATTTACAAGGTTAATTCCCCTCACTATGTCCAAAAACGGCACATAGACCAGGACCTCCTGCTCCTCTCACCACATAATTCATCCCTCTCTACTGGAGACTAGATGATTATTAGAGTATCAGGATACCTTCAACTCGGACCATCAACATCAAACATATACACAAAATACCATAAACATTTATTTAGTTAATCTCTAAACAAAAGGACTCTACCATACTAATATTCCTCAACTCACAATTATACCCTACAAAATCCCATACTACCCATAACAGTTAGATGCATAAATTCAAATGCCAGTATAATAAAATGCAATTATCACAATGATAATCATGAAGTCCCTATCTTACCACAAAAATGAATTCTCAGAATTTCCTTCCAACAAGATATATGGCACCATATTTTAATAGTACAAAATCTGTCATAAGATTTAAGTTAAAAATTGTCGTCCCCCCCACCGAGAGACACTCCAACTTCCAGGCCCAAGAGGCAGGTCGGTCACATGGACAACTTACTTAAGTCCCAAATCTTCCTTAGCCCCAAAGTGTCCTCAACTAGTTTTTTAACAACTTTCTTAAGCTCACCCTACTTGTTTGTGTTTGTATGATGTGATTGTTGTATGATGGTATGAGTATGTATGACATAATTATTATATGAGGTTTGCATGCATGTTTCATAAATGATTGGTTGCATGTTAGCTCACCCTACTTGTTTGTGTTTGGGTATGTGCGATGATCGTATAATTCGTTATACGGGAGCAGATGAAGGAATGTTGCCTCACTCAGTGCCAAGGAAGGGAGAAGTAGAAGAACTATAATTAGTACATTTTTACATGTATAGACTTATATCAACTAGGAAATTTTTAAGTGTGAGATTACGGGATGTTACCGTAAATGTAATGTTACAATATATAAATTATGAATTATCCAATGTGAGAAATTTGGGATGTTACAGTACTAAAACACACCACAAATGCATAACTGGTTAGAATAAGATATCAATGCCTGGTCGAGTCTAGTATGACTAATTGTATGTTTTAGGATTGGTTGATATGAGTTATTACATGTATTAATACATTATATTGTTTGATTGCTCATTTTGTACATTAGCTTCCCATTTTCTCTCTTTTTGATTATCTTCTTTTCTTGTTAACAATAATCATCTTAATATAGACAAATGAAAATATTCTAGTTGATCTAATACAATATGAGAGTGATGTAACAACATAAACTAGAATAAAAATCCCAGTTGAATAATTTTTTTCTTTTGAAAAATGTACAGTTTCCATTAGTATGTTCATATATAACTTTCTGAATGACTGTGATATAATAGTTGTATAATTGTTTTCTTCTTCTTGATGTTTATCACAATTATAATATTTTATTTAATAGTTATACATATTATAAATATAATTTTAATATTTTTTAATTTAATAAAATAATATAAAAAAATAGGAGTAAAACCACACGCGTCCAAAACTAATTGTTATTAAAATTAATGATCTATTTTTAAATATTAATGACTTCTTAATTTTCTTCATTGGAGTGTGGTCCACATATATACGTTGCATTTAGTTTTCAGCTGTCTATGTATCATAACAGTTTAAAAAATAAAAAGTAGAATTGCATATATATTCAAGTTAAGTTTAGAACGTATTCTTATTTTTCTACTATACTCATATTTTATTGTTGAAATTTTATTGGATTGTATATCTACTAATAAATATTTTAAATTTCGTAAAATATATTTTTTTATCGTGATTTGATATGATCTTTCATATTTTTGTATTTTTGTTTATTTTAATAATTTTTTATATAATAATAAACAATTAAAGTTTCAGAATGATCTTAGTTATTTTGAAGAGTTCATTTCAATAGTTTAATTTTGATTATTTTGTTTAAGTGGGTGAATCTCAAACATTGAAACCATACATCATAATTAAATGACGAGATTCTATGAAGAAAATGATACCAAGAACAAATATCTATTAAATAATCATTACTATCAATAAAAATGCATCTGTGGAACAAGTTGAGAAAACAATCTTATTTTTTTTTTCATGAAAAGGAAAGGAAGTTCAAAGCATAATCCAGTATTTTCAATGTCCCATTTCATCCTCAAAACTCTTGCTCAAAGAGAGATCCTGAAAAATAAAATGTGAACAAAAATAAAAGAATAATGAGAACTATGATTATGTATAAATTAAGATAAATTTAAATAAAAAAAAATCTTACTTATTACAGTCGATGTCTTTGGTGAGGGGAAAACCGACATCAACGTTACATAGTTTAGGAAGTTGAATGGCTCTATCTTTGTCAAGGTTCGGAAATTCACCGACGGCTGCCGTGAGACATTGACATGCCTCACGAAGTTCAGGTTTTGTAGGTGCTGAAGCTTTCACATTGCTCACTGCATTACAGCAAGCACTTGAAGGGCTATTTTGACTGCTGGTGAGAAAAGGTAAGCATGTCAACAATGAAAGTTTTGCCTCCACACAGCTGAATCCATTCACGGGCTTCATGGCTGCAATCGTGAGAAGTAACAAAACTCCCAAACCAAACACTCTCTTCATTTTCACACTCTTTTTCTTTCACTCTTGTTTTTATTTCAATTTCGATGGATACAACACTCACCAAAATCTTACATATATACTGTTGCGACCTATGTTTACGTTAATGACCTAATTAAACATATAAAGAAAAAATTAAATAAATTTATTACTTTTTAAAAAATTAATTAAAAATAATACCAAGATCTCTTTAATTTAAGTGACTTTCGATTTCAAATTTGTTGTTAGTATCAGCTCTTAACTCATAGGTTCAGGTACATCCACTCCATAAACTTACAATTAATGGTAGAATGACACACATCACATTCATTTAGAACACATAAAAATGGTAAAATGGTCGAGTAAATTTTTTAATTTTTCAAAAAAGAAAAAAGTAAAAAGTAAAATAATAGTATCAAATGAATGTAAAAAAATTATGTTATAGTATCATTTTTCTATACTTATTATATATATATATATATATATATATATATATATNAATCTTATTTTTTTTCATGAAAAAGGAAAGGATGTTCCAAGCATATTCCACATTTTCAATGTCCCATTTCATCCTCAAAACTCTAGCTCAAAGAGAGATCCTGAAAAAAAAATGTGAACAAAAATAAAAGAACAATGAGAACTATGAGTATGTATAAATTAAGAAAAATATAAATAAAAAAAGAATCTTACGTGTTACAGTCGATGTCTTTGGTGAGGGGAAAACCGACGTCAACGTTACATAGTTTAGGAAGTTGAACGGCTCTATCTTTGTCAAGATTAGGAACTTCACCGACGGCTGCCGTGAGACATAGACATGCCTCACGAAGTTCAGGTTTTGTAGGTGCTGAAGCTCTCACATTGCTCACTGCATTACAACAAGCAGTTGAAGGGCTATCTTGACTGCTCGTCAGAAAAGGTAAGCATGCCAACAATGAAAGTTTTGCCTCCACACAGCTGAATCCATTCACTGGCTTCATGGCTGCAACTGTGAGAATTAACAAAACTCCCAAACCAAAAACTGATGTTGACACTCTCTTCATTTTTACTTTCTTTTTCTTTCACTCTTTTTTATTTCGATTTTGATGGATACAACACTCTCCAAAATCTTACATTTATACTGCTGTGTGTGACCTACGTTAATGACTTAATTAAACATATAAAGAAAATTTTAATAAATTATTACTTTTTAAAAAATTTGATTAAAAATAATACCAAGATCTCTTTAATCCGTGACTTATGATTTCAAATTTATTGTTAGTATCTTAACTCTTAACTCATAGGTCCGGCTACATCCACTCCATAAACTTACTATATATATTATCTAAGAGATATTATAAGATAACCCTTTTAATAAATGGTGGTTTCTTTAAAATAAAAATAATATATAAAGGCTAATTTTAGACAAGTAAAATTTCATGCAACCCTTCTCCTAGATTAAATATATAAAGAAAAAAAATTAATAAATGATTTTTTTAACATTGTTTTATGATATAAATGATATTCTTAAAGAAAAATTAAATGTATAAAAAAACAAATTAATAAATTTAATACCTTTTAAACTTTTTAATTAAAAATAATATCAAGATATGTTATTTCCAAGATTTCAAACATTTTACAAAAATTCTTGAAATTATTTATCAATTTTTCTTGACAAAAATTTGTCCGTCGATAAATTAGCATTATCGATGAATTTTATCGATAGATTTTGAAATTTTTGTTATCGATAAATTTTACTGATGAAATCAATATCGACAAAAATGCATATTTTACTTATCGATGAAAAAATATATCGATAAAAAGAACGAAAATTTCTTGCTCATTTTTCACTTATTAACGGGTTTTTTATCGGTAAAATTTATCACTAATGCATATCTTACTTACCATCGGTGAAAATAGCAGGAACTTTTTCGCCCATTTTTCCTATCTATCTACGAGACAGTGTCGTTATGTATCTCTCTCTTGCATTTGTTCCTAATTTGCGCGAGGGAGCTTCTTCTTCTCCTACTTCTCCATCTTTCACTCAATCTTTTTCTTCTCTTCCACTCCATTGCAGCTACAAATCAAGACCACCTGCATCTCCGTTCAGGAAGGTCATTCCTCCGTTCAATCAGGCCGTTTTCATCTTGGTTTAGTCAGGCCGCCTCTATTCTTTGTCTTTCATGAAATGATGCAACCACGCATCGTCACCACCGCACACTACCACCACTTCCCATCACCTCACACTTTGCTCTAACTTTGGCCAACACCAAAGTTTATCACTACCTTTCATGTGTTCAATCTTCTACATTTGTATAAATAAAAAAAAAGAAGAAAAAGAAATAGAACGAAAGAATAAGGAGAGCGGAGGAAGAAGATGAACCAGATCGAGATATTTATCGACAATTTTTCTGTCAGTAATTAATAGATCAACATCATGTTAACGACGATTTATCGTTAATATTTTTCTGTCAATAATTAAATACCATACTCTGAAAAATGGATACCAACAATATATATAAATATGTCTATTCAATAATCATTTAATTTCAACACAAATTCTTGTTCCACAAAAGTTCAGCAAAACAATCTTATTTTTTTTTTCATGAAACGGAAAGGAAGTTCTAATTATAATCCAGCATTTTCAATGTCCCATTTCATCTCAAAACTCTTGCTTAAAGAGAGATCCTGGAAAAGAAAATATGTGAACAAAAATAAAATAATAATGATGAGAACAAAAATAATAATTTCACTAGTACATTAAGACGAAATGACACCGGTTAAATTTGTTTATAGGCACCGGTTCTACAACCGGTGCATATACAAACGAGGTAAAAAAAGGTAAGTTTTATGCCTCGGTTATGAACCGAGTAAAAATAAATAGGATTATGCCTCGGTTTTTAAGTAACCGAGGCAGTAACTTGTTTTTTTTTTAATTTTTTCAACCATCCTCGACCAACCCAGAGCTGGTAAATGGCCATCCTCAACCAACCCAGAGCCTGTTTCATCGCACAGGAAGAAGAACAACACACAGCAACATTTCAGAAATTCCAACATACACCACAAAGCAATACACAACACTCACACCTTCATTGCACAGTATACAACATCATCAACAAAAGAGAAGCTTCGGAGGCATCGGCGTGCCCCAGATCCTGACGGTATCAGAGGCATCGGCGGAGGCGACCCACTCGTCGTTGGGGGAGAAAGGCATGATGGTGGCCGAGGCGGAGGCGACCCACTCGCCGTTGGGGGAGAAACGCACGATGGTGGCTGTGGCGAAGTCGACCCACTCGCTGTTGGGGGAGAAACGCGCGATGGTGGCGGAGGCGGAGGCGAACCACTCGCTGTTGCGCACGATGGTGGCCGAGGAGACGATGGGCGACCAATTGGGATTTTCTGATTTAGGGTTCCATGGCGCGATGGGCGATGGTTGGCCGAGGAAACGATGGGCGATGGTGGCCGAGGAGACGATGGGCGACCCACTCGTGCATCTGATTCGATTGAACAACGACCAATTGGGATTTTCTGATTTAGGGTTCCATGGCACGATTATGGTGGCACCAACGACGATGACAGTGGGCGACGACAGCAACGACTACAAAGGTGAGAGCGGCAGCGACGAAGGACGAAGCGAACGACACCGACGAAGGACTCGCAACGGCGACGTTGGTGGAGGCAGCCCTTGGGGAGAACAACGGTGGTGACGGCAAAGACGAAGCAGCAACGCGAAGAAGAAGAACTGAAGAAGCAATGAAGAAATGAACAGCAGTGGCAACACGAAGAGAAACAAGAAGAAGCAGAACCGGAGCGTGAGAAGAAATGAACCAACTCTGAGAATTTTGAAGCCTATATGCTTCGGTTAGGAAGGAACCGAAGCTGAAGATCGTTTTGTTCAGGCTTTATGCCTCGGGTCTAAGTTGACTGAGGTGTTAGCTCAAGCTTTCTGCCTCGGGTCTGCAGGCAACCGAGGTAGTATCACCTTTTCGTAAAGTTGTCAGTCCAAATTCTGAACTCGTATCACCTTTTCATGAAGCTGTCAGCTTTTAGGCACCGACTATGCTTCGGTTTTGTGTGCAACCGAGGTTGTATCTAGGTTTTGCACCGGTTCAGCGTGCAACTGAATTATATAAGATCGGCTTTATTACAAACCTGCCATCGCCTTGTGATAGACAGCGGTTTGATGTCAAATGAAGTATAATGTGCGAGTTTAAAAGCCAATATTGTACTGGTGTTTAATTTTAATTATTTTGTTCAAGCTGGCGAATCTCATGAAACCATACATCATAATTAAATACCATACTCCGAAAAATGGATACCAACAATATATATAACTATGTCTATTCAATAATCATTTAATTTCAACACAAATTCTTGTTCCACAAGAGTTCAGGAAAACAATCTTATTTTTTTTCATGAAAAAGGAAAGGATGTTCCAAGCATATTCCACATTTTCAATGTCCCATTTCATCCTCAAAACTCTAGCTCAAAGAGAGATCCTGAAAAAAAAATGTGAACAAAAATAAAAGAACAATGAGAACTATGAGTATGTATAAATTAAGAAAAATATAAATAAAAAAAGAATCTTACGTGTTACAGTCGATGTCTTTGGTGAGGGGAAAACCGACGTCAACGTTACATAGTTTAGGAAGTTGAACGGCTCTATCTTTGTCAAGATTAGGAACTTCACCGACGGCTGCCGTGAGACATAGACATGCCTCACGAAGTTCAGGTTTTGTAGGTGCTGAAGCTCTCACATTGCTCACTGCATTACAACAAGCAGTTGAAGGGCTATCTTGACTGCTCGTCAGAAAAGGTAAGCATGCCAACAATGAAAGTTTTGCCTCCACACAGCTGAATCCATTCACTGGCTTCATGGCTGCAACTGTGAGAATTAACAAAACTCCCAAACCAAAAACTGATGTTGACACTCTCTTCATTTTTACTTTCTTTTTCTTTCACTCTTTTTTATTTCGATTTTGATGGATACAACACTCTCCAAAATCTTACATTTATACTGCTGTGTGTGACCTACGTTAATGACTTAATTAAACATATAAAGAAAATTTTAATAAATTATTACTTTTTAAAAAATTTGATTAAAAATAATACCAAGATCTCTTTAATCCGTGACTTATGATTTCAAATTTATTGTTAGTATCTTAACTCTTAACTCATAGGTCCGGCTACATCCACTCCATAAACTTACTATATATATTATCTAAGAGATATTATAAGATAACCCTTTTAATAAATGGTGGTTTCTTTAAAATAAAAATAATATATAAAGGCTAATTTTAGACAAGTAAAATTTCATGCAACCCTTCTCCTAGATTAAATATATAAAGAAAAAAAATTAATAAATGATTTTTTTAACATTGTTTTATGATATAAATGATATTCTTAAAGAAAAATTAAATGTATAAAAAAACAAATTAATAAATTTAATACCTTTTAAACTTTTTAATTAAAAATAATATCAAGATATGTTATTTCCAAGATTTCAAACATTTTACAAAAATTCTTGAAATTATTTATCAATTTTTCTTGACAAAAATTTGTCCGTCGATAAATTAGCATTATCGATGAATTTTATCGATAGATTTTGAAATTTTTGTTATCGATAAATTTTACTGATGAAATCAATATCGACAAAAATGCATATTTTACTTATCGATGAAAAAATATATCGATAAAAAGAACGAAAATTTCTTGCTCATTTTTCACTTATTAACGGGTTTTTTATCGGTAAAATTTATCACTAATGCATATCTTACTTACCATCGGTGAAAATAGCAGGAACTTTTTCGCCCATTTTTCCTATCTATCTACGAGACAGTGTCGTTATGTATCTCTCTCTTGCATTTGTTCCTAATTTGCGCGAGGGATCTTCTTCTTCTCCTACTTCTCCATCTTTCACTCAATCTTTTTCTTCTCTTCCACTCCATTGCAGCTACAAATCAAGACCACCTGCATCTCCGTTCAGGAAGGTCATTCCTCCGTTCAATCAGGCCGTTTTCATCTTGGTTTAGTCAGGCCGCCTCTATTCTTTGTCTTTCATGAA